AACATGGTCACGACTTACTCACTGAACTTCAAATTGTCTCTAAATGGTCATTGAACTCGATTTCAATTGCCCACCCCACTGCCCTCTGAGTGTTGGATGTGGTGAAATTAATGAAAGTTCAGTGACCATTTAGATGCAATTTGAAATTCAGTAAGTAAGTCGTGATCATGTTAAAGTTCAATGACTGTTCAAACAATTTACTCAATAAGTACTTATTTTGAAAATATTTGACTAAGTTTTGTATTTACGTAATAAATTAAATTTATATTTAAGTAAATTTCATTTTCAAAATAAATTAGATAGCCGACTTTGTTCTTGTTTATTGACAACGAGATATTTATTAAGATGATGAGATAAGTGTGGTTTTTAAAATAATTATTTTACTTAGATACCCATGCACTTAACATTAAAGTAAAGGAAAACAACCTTCCAGAAGGGAAAAAAAGAAGAAGTTGAGCTTAATGAGCGTGATTGATCATTGAACTTAAAGAAGGGTTTCAATTTAGTCTCTAAACCTTCAATTTGTTCTAAATTAATCATCTAACTTTAATATATGTTTTACGTTGGTCACCGAACTTTAATTTATTTCCCATTAGTCGACCAACGATAAAATTTATTTCGAGCTGGTCACTGTACTAGTCTCGTAGCAACTCAGAAATCATATACCTAGCATCAAGCTAAGAAGTCATCTAACACATCAAATTTAGCATTAATTTTGAAAAATGGAGACAAATGCAATAATCAAAACTTCAATGATTAACATGAAACAAAATTAAAAGTGGAATGACTAATTTGGAATAATTTGAAGTTGAGCGATCAGATTGAAATCTGCATAAAAGTTCAGTAACCAATTGAATTTTTCGTCTTACCTTTAAAATAAAAAAGAGGAAATTGCAAAAAATGTCCACTCTTACATAGTCATTTGCAAAAATGTCCAAATTTTTTTCAATGTCCATTTTATTATAATATAGATCAAAACGCTCTCATTAACAATTTTAAATTTCACAATGAGACAAAATTATTTATATAATTAAAAATTGCATTGACTAATAATAACTTGATACATAACATATACCACTTATTTTAAAAAGTATCATAACAATTATACATTAAATGCTCATTTTTCCCTATAAGTGAGTAAATAAAACATTTATAAAATGTCGAGGAGTACACTTAAAATGTCAAGAACATTATAAAATGTAGAGCTCTCATGTTCAGAACGAAATGTCCTTGTAAACAAATGAATTGTCAAATGTCAAGATAAACAGGGTTCAAAATGTCGAGAACGTTATTAAATGTCAAGAATAATAACTATTAAACACAACTTATCAACAAAAAAATATTTCAAAGAAAATTTACCTTATATCGAGAATTGTAGAAAGTCTAATCGACTACAAATTTGGATGAGATTAAATTTTTGAAATGAAATTATATGATTTTCTTACGAATTGGAAGCAAATAATTATTTTTTGGTATTAATGATTTTTCTACTTCATCTTCTTCATTTTTTTTCCAAAATTCTTCCATTAGGCATTAGGCAGCAATAAAGTAGCTTTTTATGGAAGCGGTCTGTCTTCTCAAAATTTGTGACAAATTGAAAAAGAAAGTTTTATTTTTCATTGAGGGTATAATAGACAATTTGATACCAAATTTGGCCATTTTTACAAAAGTTATCAAAATTAGACACTTTTCAATTGATAAACATGAAATTGACCATTTTTGTTAATTCCCCAATAAAAAATTACACCAAAATTAAACTTTTCGAAAAGTCGTGTTAGATTTGATTGAATATGATAGTATAATTGATTATGCAATTATTATGATTGTCATTTTGTCACCACTCACGGTCCACGGAGCCATGAAAGGGAAATTTTAATTGAAAGTCCGCAACTTATGTATTTTGTGCAAATGAA